TATATATATATATATTTTTTTTTTTTTTTTGTTGCATGTTAAAACTATGTAATTAGATTTATGTTTTTTTTTATCTTTGTAGTTGTTGAACTATAAAATATATATAAGAACTTGTCAAATTGTTACTCAAAACAAACAAAACATAATTAGAAAGCTTATATATGTAAATAATTTTATTTACAAAAATGAAATTACAATTTATAAAAAATACAAAGGTCAATAAAAAAAAATAAAAACTTGAAATTAAATGTTTAGTTATATTTATAAGGTCATAGGTATCATCTATAAAAAAAAAAAAAAAAAGTTGAATCTACGGTAAATCCAATGGAAATGCTGTTCACTAGTGGACAACGAAAATAAAATGAGTATTTCGTATGGTTCATGAGTGGACAAATGTGTTTGAATCGTTAGATGTTGTGTTCTGTGTTCTGTGATCGAACAGATGAGATAAATTACTGGTAACTTTTTATTTAATTACTTAAAATTTTAAATTAAAATGTTTAATAATAAGTTAATTAATAACTACATCAAGAAACTTGAGAAGGAGAAGCTCAAAGAATCTCCCGAATTGCACTGTTACAAGAACACAAGTTTGAATAGTTTTGAATAGTTGATTGTTTTTTCATTTGTGGGATCTCCACAACCATAAACACCATACCTACGAATCACGATGGAGAATACAAGGAAGCATGTTGTTGTCGAAAATTATAGAACTTGGGTATTCAAATTTGTTCATAAGTATTATTTTCTTTTGAGATTCCTTCCATGCCTTGTTTAATCATAGGGTTTATGTGTCCCTTTAAGTTTTGGCGAATGAAATGCTGACACTTGGCATTCATTGCCACATCATGCAGAAGTTTGAAATGTTGACCAGATGGATAAACGGGTTCATAATAACCTAAACTTGAACAAACCCTAAACCCTAAACAACCCTAAACTTAAGCTTGCCAAAGTTATTTTGATTCGTCAAATGAAATCTTAAAAGTGGAACGTTAGTGATCAGAAAGTTGCTGCAACATTTGGGAATATGACAAATTTTCTTCTTTGATTAATCAAAATATTGTAAAAGGGTCTTGATCATAATTTACAAATTTAAAATAATTAATTATTTAACCTGTTAAGAAACATATTTCTGATAATAGCCGGTTTCTACTTTCTAGGATTCTTCACGTGAACCGTTTGATAAATTTTTCCACAGTAAGTGACAAAGTTGTATTTCTGAATAATTATTTAGTCTCTAAATATAAATATTTAATCAATAATTAATAATAATAATAATAATAATAATAATAATAAAAAGTAAAAAGTCATGTATATAGTCTATTAGATGACAGCTGCACTCCTGTGTTTCCACTAATCATCTGTCACATCTCACACATTTAACATTTTAAATGCAAAAATACTTTAGAGCATATGCAATAATTTCATGTACCACATCACTGCCACATCAACATATTTTATAGGTTATTTAAATTTTAGCAAAATTATTTCTATAAACAACTTTGCTAAAATTTAAATAATCTTTAAAATGAGTCAAAATTAATGTAATAATAATGTAGTACAAAAAGTTACTTATAAGCAACCTTAGTTGAAAATGATTTTATGTCCCTCCAAATTTCATGGAAATAGAATCTTACATTAATTAAACTAGAGAATATGTTTCCATATTATATCTTCTTAAAGTACAAGTTAGTCAACTTTACGACAACTTCGAAGCCATGCACACCTTTTCTTTATTTTTATTATTATTTATTTATGAGAATCGTGTTCCATTTTATGAATATACAATAATTCGTGCAATTTGTTTGACCACTCTTTGACTCAATATGAAAAAAATGGTTAAAATATATTTATTTTATTTATCTTTTCTTGATATTTATTATTCTTTTTTCTCCTACCATTATTTTTATTTTTATTCCAATTCATCTATCTCAATTTGGATCGTACATTTATCATCGTCCAAGAAAGAAAAACGAACATATTAAATACATTAAAAAAATGTGTATTTTTTTAATGTAATTTTAAACTGATGTTTAAACATGTACTTAAATTATTGTGTTGTGATTTGTGAAAACTCATCGCATTTGTTCATCCATCGCCTTGACGCTTGACTGCGAATTCCACGTTACGCCAATTTCTTTAATTTTCAAAATCACGTGATTGGGATTAAATTTAAATCAGACAAATCGGTTGATATGCTTATGATTAAAATATATTTTTATATTTTATCTTGTCGCAAAAAATTATTTTAATTCATTATTTTTTAAAAAGATCTATTTTGATCGTTATTTTTCAATTGAGTTAGTGTTGTCTTTATAAAACAATCATTATTTTTTTAGTTCAAAATTTTGAATTATTTTCTAATTCACTCGATGTATAAAACTTGTTTTTAATTAAAACTACTTAAATATCGACTACTAAGGTTAGTCTAATGGTTGAGTGGTTAGCCTAATAGATGAGTAGGGAGAGGTTGAAGTAGTTAGAAGCATAAAAAAAATTTTATTACGACCATCTAATTAACATAAGTGATAGTAACTTTTGTTTCTTAATTAAAATATTAAATATTTGATTCATAATTATGAATATAAAATAGAGTATATTGAAAGAAAAAAAATATTTACAATTTTTAATAAAAATTAGATACTTCCTATCAATATTATATTTAATAAAAAAAAAACTTCAAAATTTTTATAGAATGGTTAAAAAAAAAATTGGCATACACATTTGAGAATATTATGAGTTAATCAATAAAACATGTGGTGTGTGTGTTTTTATTTTTTTATTTTTTACCAAAATAACTATCGGACCTTGAGATTTTATGAACGTACGTGGACATAAACAAATGATGTCGAAGTGTTTAGGGAGAAGCTCCACCAATTTTATTATGTTATTTAAATGAAAAATGATAAAGACTTGCGACGCTTTTCATTTAATGATGTAAACAAATATACTCCCCTAAAAATAATCACAAATTTGCCTATGATAATTTTTTGAGAGTATTAAGTGTATATATAAATTGGGATAGTATACGCATATGCTTATGTTTGAATCATGATATTATGATTATAATCACGATGGATAAAAAAATTATGTATAGGATTTTCTAAAATAAATAAATATAGATAGATATAGATATAGATAAAGAGAATTTTTTATTTTGTTGTACACATTATTATCACAATTTTAACATTTGAAAAACTTCATAATAATAATTAATAAAAATTAGAAAAATCTTTTGATATAAGATTTATTTTAATCTTTTGATAACCATCCACTATTTTTATTAATGTCTGTATTTAAAGAAATGTATACCAAGACTTTGTGTGAAATTAATCAACAGAGTAAAGGAGAGTTAATGAAAATACAAAATGAGCTCTACTAGGGTTTTTGAGAGTGAGAAAGAAAAAGTGGATCAACGTAGCATAAAGAAGGTTAAGATGAAGGACAGAGAGGTGTTGTTTGATATCACCACGGATGAACAAGGGGCTAACTCCCTAGTTGCGGGGAGTCCAAAATGATCATATGCTGAGAGTGTATTGACTACGGATGGCGGACATATCCTTTTTGATTATAAGGTTTTGCTAAAGGAGATGGAAGAGTATGACGAACTGGTTGAGAAGGAAGAGAACCTTCTAGTGGATGGAGACTCTAACCCTGATCCTTGTCCAACAATTAATGTTACTCAAGAGGAGTTTGAGAAATGGTGTTCCCCATGGAAGAAAGCTCTGATCATCCACGTCTTGGGTAAACACATTGCATTCAAGGCCTTAGAGAACAAGGTTAATCAGGATTAGATCAAGATGGGTCAATGCGTATGATTGATTTGCCTAATGATTATTTTTTTGTATAATTTTTAGCTAAAGAGGATTATAGACATGCACTTTATGAAGGTCCTTGGATGATAGCGGATCATTATATTCTTGTGTAAAGGTGGAAACCTTTCTTCACGGTAATAGTGACACAAACTAAAAAGGTAGCAGCTTGGATACACATTCCTGGGTTACCCATAGAACTTTATATATAATGATCATTTCCTTTGGGGTGCCCAGAGTAAGCTGGGAAAAATGCTCAAGATAGACAAACTGACGTCTATTCATTCTCGAGGCAAATTTGCACGTATTTGCATGGAAGTCAATCTGAATAGGAAATTAGTTTCCATGATAAATGTTATGGGACATATTATCAAGCTTGAATATGAAGGTCAACACTCCATTTGTTTCAAATGTGGCAGATATGGTCACAAGCAAGAACATTGTGGTGTCTCAATGGAACAATAGGTGATTCAGACTAGGGAGAACTCAAAGATTGGTTCAGGGGCTATGGAAGTGGACAATGGGGCCTAACCTGCATCCAATCCAACCGAACATGCTAGGGTTCCACCTGGCTTAGAATTGAATGTAGGGAAACCAACAGAAGCGGCTCAAATCACACAAGATCCAAAAAATATCTACTGTCCATGGATGCTAGTAAACATGCACAAAAAATCTAGGAAAAATAAATGAATTATGAGAAATAAGGAAAATTCCTTATCTTTAAATATTGCATTGCATATTATGGAAAATGATAATATTCAACCGCATCATGATTTAAATATGTTATCTAAACAAGATAATAATCCTCTATTTCCAAATCAATCATTAGAAGATAATGCCATGCAATCCATGCAAGATACATCATTGGTCCAGCAGCCACCACAAATCACAAAAAATTTGGATAAGCAAATCACGGAAAACACAATCAAGATATGCAATCCGTTAGCGGGAAAAACCGTCAAGCATCATGTGGTGGTGCTAGCTCGCTTGCAAGGAAGGATTATTCTAAATCCCGAATATCCATACCTCCAAAAGTATTGAAGAACACTCGTCAAGCTGTTGGGCCGCCTACGTTTGCTAAATTAGATGGCTTAAAAGAGATCTTTATGACTTAATAGGAAAACTCTCGAATAGTGTTTGAGGGGATGTGTTCAATAACTTCGTCAACACAAAATAAGCTATTCATGGAAGGATTCTCCTCCAAGGCAGTGCTACTTGATGAAGAAACCCTGAAACTTGCGACAGCTCTTAGAAACCACTTCGAACCAAGGTCGTTAAACAGTCGACGATGAAAGATAATCATATAATAATGGAGATTGACCATCCTTCGGAGACAAGGCTTTCTCAGCCCACTCATACCACCAATTCTCAATGAATGTTATGAGTTGGAATTGTCGAGGAGTTGGTGCACATGGCTTTTCTTTGTTAGTAAATGATATGATTAAGGAATATCGCATTGGGTTACTCTGTCTCATAGAAACATACATCAGTGATGATCAAGCTTTACGTGTTTCACGTAGAATCTTTCTTGATAAGTGTCATTTGGTGCAAGCGCAAGGACAAGCCGGAGGCTTGTGGTGTATGTGGGATTCAAGTAAATGGAATATCGGAGTTATGGATCACTCAAATCAGTATGTTCACCTTAAGGTCATGGAGAGTGATACTCATTGGTTTTGTACCATGGTATACGCTAGCCCTCACCCACAAGGTCACATACCCCTCTAGAGAGACATTTCTAGGTTAGCACCATCTATGGAAATGGCATGGATGCTCATGGGTGATTTTAATGCAATCTTACACACCCATGAGCGAACCGAGAGCATTAGTAATTCCTGCTTACGTGGTGATCTAGCATTCCAGAACTGTGTCAATCATTGTAGCTTACTTGATATTGGCTACCATGGAGCTCCATTCACTTGGCATCGAGGAAAATTTTTTATACATTTGGATAGGGTATTGGCATCTTTAAACTGGCAGGTTTTGTTTCCTAAGGCGACTCTTACACACCTGAACCCTATGAAATCAAACCATGCTCTACTTCTATTGAAGTTACACCCCAACTACTTTGACTGCCACTCTAGACGACCCTTCCATTTTGAAGCAGCTTGGATTACGCATAAGGAGTTTCCTGATCTCTTGAAGTGTGAATGGAATATGCATAATAATTGGAATCAACGCCTTAACCACACGAAGCAATCATTACTAGACTGGAACAGGTTCACATTTGGCAATGTATTCTACACAAAATGTAGACTTCTCCAACGCTTAAATGGAATCACGCGCAAGCTGCTTTAAGGTCCAAATTGTTTCCTTAAAAGGTTTCAACGTGATTTGTTGGTTGAGCTTGACCAAATACTGGCGCAAAAAGAGATAATATGGTTTCAAAAGTCTAGATGCAAATGGTTGCAAATGGGTGATCGAAACACAAGGTATTTTCATGGAACATCTATCGTTCGTCGACAAAGAAATAAGGTGGTGAAGCTGATGAACGATAATAACGAGTGGGTGACATAGCAAGGTGAGTTAGAAAAGATGGTAACAAGTTTTTACAAGACATTATTCTCAAATACAGGGACTTCGACTATAGTTTGCTTATCAAATGCATTACCTCAACTTGACAAGGAGGAATTGGAAACTATTGGGAGTCAAATCAGTAATGAAGAAATTTATTCAACAGCTAGAAGAATGGGAGGTTTTAAGGCCCCTGAGCCTGATGGGCTGCAAGCAGTTTTCTATCAATCTCAATGGAAAACTATAGGCCCTGCTATATGTCAACTCATTCATGAGATTGAAACAGAACCAACTAAGGTTGCTGACATTAATGAAACCATGATTGTGTTGATCTCGAAAGTAGAGAATGTCACCCATCTAAAACAAATGTGTCCTATTGGGTTGTGCATTGTTTCTTATAAGATTTTAACCAAAGTGTTGGCCCATCAACTCAGTAATGTGATGGAAAAATTGATGAATCCCAATCAATGCAGTTTTATTCCAAACAGATATAGTAAGGATAACATTATCATTTTTCAAAAAGTTATTCATTCTATGAAAAGCAAGACAAGTAACAAAGGATGAATGGCTATCAAGATCAACCTTGAGAAAACCTATGCCAATTTGAGGTGGAGCTTTATGAAGGATACACTTATAGATATTGGTCTTCCGCTTAATCTTGTAGACCTAATTTCAGCTTGCATTTCCTCCTTTAGACTCTGAATGCTTTGGAATGGCGAGGTCCTTGAGGAATTCCTACCATCTCGTGGAGTTTGTCAAGGCGACCCTATTTCTTCATATTTTTTGTTCTTTGTATGGAACGCCTCTTTCATCTCATTACATTGGTTTTTGATTCTGGAGGTTGGAAAGTAATTAAACTTTCTAGACATGGCCCTTCTCTCTCTTACCTTGCCTTTGCATATGATCTTGTGTTATTTGCGGAAGCATCAATGGATCAAGTTGAAGTAATACAATCATGTCTAGACCGCTCTTTTGCGGCAGTTTAGGTCAAAAAGTTAATATGGAGAAAACAAGAATCTTCATCTCTAAAAATGTAGCTTATGCAGTGCAGGAGGAGATTAGCAATTCTTTTGGATTTAGTCACACTGATAATCTAGGAAGATATCTGGGTATTCCTGTTCACCATACTCGAGTTTGTTGAAGAGACTATCAAGTTATTATTGATCGGGTGACCACAAGGCTCAGGGAATGAAAAGTTTTTTCTATTTCCTTTGCAGGTCATCTCACTCTGTGTAAGTCTGTTCTTGCTATCATTCCTTCTTACACAATGTAGTCAGTTCATATTCCTTACAATGTATGTGATAAAGTGGATAGATTATGTCGTAGCTTTTATGGGGGAATATTCTAATCAGCGAAAGATCCATGATATTGGGTGGGATAAAATTTGTCTTCCTAAAGAGTATGGTAGTCTAGGGTTGCGGTCCATGAGAAATATTAATAATTCATTTTTGATAAAAAAAAATGGATGGAGTTTGATAACTGAATCTAATAAATTGTGGGTTCAAGTAGTAAGATCCAAGTATAAATGCTTAAATGGATTAATCCCTCAAGTTTAGAGGAAGACATCCATGTCTAATTTATGGCAAGGAATCTGTGCAAATTGGCAACATGTCACTTCAAATATTCGATGGCAGGTAAAGGACAAAAGGACAATGAGATTTTGGTATGATTCTTAGTTGCCTAATGGGTCTCCTATTATTAGGCAAGCTAACTCCTTTATTACACTTGTGGAGCTATTTAGATGTGTTGGTGACTACATCATCGAACATGGCTTTTGGGAGATTGAATGTATCAAAGATTGGAAGCAATTAATCTGTTGAGATGGATGTGCTAGGAATCATCCTTATGCTGATATAATTCAGAAGATTCGCCACTTATCCAATGTTTTGTCGAGTTTTTCAATTTCGCATATTTTTAGAGAAACCAATTCAGTGGTTGATTTGCTAGCCAAACATAGAGTTGTGTTAGGAGAGAATTTTATTGTTTATGACTCTTTCCCCCTCCCCCATTTTCTCTTCTCCTTATTAGTCGCTGATCTAGCAGGATAGTTTGAGTTTTGTTTTCCTTTTGGGCTTTTAAGCCCCCTATTACACAAAAAAGGTATCGAGTAACTTTTACCTCCTAGTTAATAATATTTATTTTTTATATACACAATTTTTAGATAATTATTCAAAAATTGTTAAAATCCTTCTATAAATACCGATTATTATTAAATCTTAATTAATTTTATTTTTATTTATTTTAAAAAACATTGATACACAAAGTGTTTTTTTACTTTTAGTATAAATTAAAAAAGAAATTTGTTTTGACACTAAAATAAATAAATAAATATATATATATATATTAATTTTTTTTTATAAATTTGCTAAATTAGAATAAACACTCATTAAGGAATATCAGTAACTTGCTAAAAAATTATACTTTTTTTCAAAAAATAAAATTCAGTTAATATAAGAGAGGCTATTAAAAAAAATTGACAGAAATAGCATACCTAATATTCAACATAACGTATAAAAAAAATTAGTTGGATATCAAATTTAGTATGGCTACCCTCACTTTATAAGAGTTTGATTCTTTCTTTTAATAAATTTTGTCAAAGTTTATTTCTTTTCTTTAATAAATTGTTATGATGAGATTATTAGTGGATGTGATGCAGTACAAGCATGTTGGAATATTTGTACCCTCTACTCGAGTTTTTTCCTATCTCAATCTCTTTCTTATGAAGTATTATCATTTTCTTATTTTTTCACCTTTTGTAGGGTGAAATTCCTCTATATTTTTTTTAACTTCTATTTTTCTAAATTTGCATCATCCACATGAACATAACTCTTTTCTTAGGAGAAGAAATTGAGGTAGTAGAAATATAGAACCTAAGTTCAATTCCTATTAGATCATTTTTAGAATTTTTCTATTTTTATCAAAAGAAATACTTTTTTTGTGATATTTTTATTTTTATTTTTTGTTAATGATTAAGGACGAAAAAAATAGAGTAAAAAAAAATATTTAATTCACTTAAATATCATAACCTTCTCACAATATGTCTCAATATCAAACTTAATCATATTGAATCCATGAAACATGTTCAAGAGGTCATAACCTCCTTGTATCTTCCACTTGTTAGAAAACCCATATTCTTTCCAAGAAGCTTCACCACCAACCAATTATTTTAGAGAAGGTAAAGTTGCTAAAAGATAGGCTAAGCAATATTGAATTTGGGGAGCAAGTGATTACATCATTCAAATTCAAGAGTCATGGCTCCTTCTTGGAGAAGATTACGTGAAGAGATAAGTTCGGATAGACCCCCAACTAGGGGTGGTAAAATGGGCCAAGGCTTACAGGCCGAGTTAGGTATCCTAGCTTGCCTTACTTAGCCCGCCCACCCACCAAACTTGCCTATTTTTTTATTTATTATTTTTAATATAAATTTTATTAAGTCATTTCATATTTATTTTGTGTATAATCTATGATTGGTCATATAACAAATATGTTGTGCATTTAATTTATTTTATTATATGTAATTTGATATTTGCTGTACAATAAATATGTTACAAGAGTTATGAATATTGTTATAATTATATTTTTTATTATGTAACAAATTTGATATTTGAGGTTTGGTAAATCAAATTAAATCAATTATAATTTGAGTTTTTTATTATTATTTAGGTACATTAATTTATGTATGTCCTTTAGATATTGAAAATGAGTATGCTAGAAAAGTAATTCAAAATGAATATGCAAACTTTTTTTTCTTTCTTCCCTTTTTTTTAATATTTTTTTTTGACAGGTTGCTTACCAACTTGCCCTTAGGTAAGGCGAGTCTAGGTTTCTAGCCTATTTTTGTCTAGCGGGCCGACCATACTTGTTTTTGGTGGGTCAATGGCGGGTCGAGACCCTCTAAACATTCTCTTTAAAAGATATCTATTGGAATCAAATATCTTTGTTGTTGTTTGGAGGTTCTAGTGGTACCTTCATACGTACTCCTAGGCACTTGTTTCTCTCCATGACTCATCTTCACTCTAGAATAATGTTTTTGTGCCCTTAAATAACCTATCTAAACTTTAGAAAACATATTCTAATAAGCGCTTTGATAATTTGTGGATCCTATAAATGTTATATTACTTTATTTCCTCTTTCGTGTATGTGTGTATAACAATACAATGAAACTAAACCAAAGCAACTTTTAGAAAAGGAAAGTCAGCCATAAAGAGACTTATCAACATAAAAAGTATCATGTTTAGAACAAAGTCTCATTGCTTCATTTCTTTCCAAGCTTAAGCATTTATGAAGCTCTGAAACATGTGAGCAAAAGTGAAGAACGACCATTTTGTGAAGATCGAATATCACATTCAAACGACTAAGTGTTGAAGGCTCTCACTAACAAATATATCTTTGAAGTCTATAAATTTAAAAATTCTTGAAGAGAAGAAGCTAATATTTGTAGAACTTTGTGAATATTGAAAAAACATTCTTAGCTATGCCAAAACTCTAATAAATTTCTTCTAAGTAAAAAAAAAACCTTGTAAGTCATCGTTTAGTGGAAAATTAATGAGAAAAGGTTAAGTTTAACTATCCTTACCTTAGCAAGTCTAACATCTTTTGAGTGTACTTAAACATATATATCCTCTCTATGAGAATTAGCTTGTAAAAACTCAACTTATTTTCTCTTGTAATCCTAAAGAGATTAGCAAAAGAATACTACAATGTGTTGTTACATTTTGGATAGGAGTTGACATAGAGATACTTGTCGTAGCCAAGAGTGACATAAAGAATACTTGTTTATAAAA